TTTCTTCGTTGCTTTGTACATCCCTCCCCCACAGTATAACCCCTGCTTTCACTGTATTTGATGTCGGTATAATTTGTGGAGGGGAAGGGGAAAAACAAGTCGTTTAAAGAAGGATACAGGTGGACCCGTTGCAACAATGAGAAGTACAAGTTGTCATGCGGAAAATGAACTTTACAACTTTGGTGGGCGGGGGGAGGATTGTGTGGGGGGGTGGGGGGAGGCTGGGAAGGGATGGAAGGGTAAACAAAGGAGGAGGCTACAATGCTTGAAAAGAAATGTACTTATTATCTTGCCCATGTAATTGTAACCCCTCTGTACAGTATTTTCACAATTAAAAATAAAAAAAATGATCTAAGAAAAATAAGTTCAGAAGAGATTTTCTTACAGCATTTCACTACGGTATAGACCTAATTTCCCGATATGATCAAAGTCATACTTTCTGTAGTGATGACATTCAGACATTTATGATAATCAAATGTTTATATACACTGAATGTCAATTATAGCAATTAGATTTAGATCATGAGTTGGCAGAGAATAATGACATTCAAATTTAGAGAAATCCCTGGGGAAACATTCATGAAAATGCATATGTAACTTAAGAGTCACATTTGATTTAATCATGCAATTTTCTTTGGATAATTTAGCTCTCACAAAAATCTGTAACCATGTCATCATTAAAATATGGCAAGAATGAAGGAGCACACATCACAAAGCAGATAATACAGTTTGGGGTCCGATATGACACAGCCACAAAATCAACTCAATTGTGGGCCTCTAAAGACCTGAACAGTTTCAGGAACCTGTCTCGTATCTTCTTGGTCTTCACCCCATAAATAATGGGGTTCACCATGGGTGGAACAAGAAGATAAATATTGGCTACCAATATGTGTACACAAGGAGCCACTTGATGTCCAAATCTGTGGGTGAGGAAAGAGAAGAAGGCTGGAGTATAGAACACTAAGATCACACACACATGGGAGCCACAGGTGCCCAAAGATTTGAGTCTGGCGTCTTTAGATGGGAGGTGGAAGACAGTGCGTAGGATGAGGACATAAGAACAAATGATCAAGATGAAGTCCACACCCCCAGTAAGGAAGGCAACGATAAGGCTATATACTCTGCGGATTCTGGTCTCAGCACAGGCGAGTTTGATGAGAGCCATAAACTCACAGTAGGCATGGGAAATTATGTTGGTTTTGCAGTAGGGAAGCCAGCATAGCAGGAAAGGGTGAGGAGTGAGCAGTGCTAAGCCCCTCAGTACTATACCCAGGCCCAGCTCCCCAGTGACAGTGCGTGTCAGAATAGTTGAGTGTCTTAGCGGATTACAAATGGCTACATAACGGTCAAATGCCATGGCCAGGATGAAACCAGACTCCATGGTGGAGCAGGAATGAATCAGAAAAACTTGTGTGAGGCAGGCTTCAAAGCCAATCTCTCCATCATGGAACCAGAAAAGGCTGAGAATTTTGGGAACCGCTGTAGTACACACCACAAGGTCAGCCACAGCCAGCATGCAGAGGAAGAGGTACATTGGTTGATGGAGGCTGGGGTCTGTCTTGATGGTGAACAAAAGTGAACAGTTTCCCAGAAGGGCCAGAATGTAGACCATACAAAAGGGGATGGAGATCCAGATATGGGCATCCTCTAGCCCAGGAATGCCAATGAGAATGAAGGTTGATGGATGGATGTTGGTCCTGTTGTAGGCTGACATAACAAGGGACAGGTGTTTTAACTTCTTCTTCATGGATGTTTCCTTTAAAGCAAACCAAAGAGAATTGACCAATTTGAAAGTTCCTAATGAGCCAAGAAAGGCAATTCAGGAAACTGTAGTGATTGAATAATTACCATGTCTATTAATACAAATCTTTCATTAAATAACAGAGTCAGGCATAAGAACAGAATTCCTATGCTTTGGAATAGTCTCTACTTAAATAGTCATAAAGAAGTGTTTGCACTGGAAGCTGTAAGAAACGTTTTCTTTTCTGTGGTGATTACATTCAATTCTATCACTCTCTTAATCCATTTACAAATGATTCTTCATAAACTTACCACTGTATGTACATTCCCCTGTTATATAAATTTGAAATGTCTGTCTCTTTCTTTCTTTCTTTCTTTCTTTCTTTCTTTCTTTCTTTCTTTCTTTCTTTCTTTCTTTCTTTCTTTCTTTCTTTCTTTCTTCCTTCCTTCCTTCCTTCCTTCCTTCCTTCCTTCCTTCCTTCCTTTCTTTCTTTCTTTCTGTATAGATTCTAAATGTATAAAATGTTTAATGGAAAAAATCCCTCCTCAAATGACAAACTTCCATTGAGAAGAAAATGAACAGCTTTGAAATTTAAAGATTGTGTAAGAATTATGTGATGGTGAGGTAAGAACAGTGCACTTGAAAGCTTAGGAGAAAGACAGAAGGAATGATCAGAGCTGATTCCTTCTATTGTAGCAGGGAAGTGGCAAGTGACAATGTCTGCATGACTTTGAATTTTAAGAATCCTACACAGGGGCTGGGAATGTGGCTTAGTGATAGAGTGCTTGCCGTGCATGCATGAAGCCCTGGGTTCGATTCCTCAGTGCCACATAAACAGAAAAAGCCTGAAGTGGCACTGTGGCTCAAGTGGTAGAGTGCTAGCCTTGAGCTGAAGAGCTCAGGCACAGGACCTAGGCCCAGAGTTCAAGCCCCATGATGGGTGAGAGAGAAAAAGAGAGAGAGAGAGAGAGAGAGAGTCCTACATAGGAGAATGTGTCACTTATATGATGAGGAGAAAATTTGTTAAGAATGTTTTGTTCACTAATGAAACAGTGGTATGAGGGCAGTGTGTTAGGAAGTTATCAACACATGGTGGTATTAATGACCGTTTACTGGTCATGGAACTTACTTGCATTTATTCCTTACCTGAGTATACAGGTAACAGTAATTAGATTATAACCTGTACTGTGAACTGCCATCATTTCCTATCAATTATCTAAGCAAACATCTTGCTCTTTTGTTAAGTTCATTCTACTGGGAAGCTATCTCATCTGAGTCTTGTCTTATACTTGTTATGTTTTCATTGTATTCTTCTTTGGCACTATGTGATGTTCAAAACAGCTTCATAATGCTGTTTGCCTGTACCATTTGGTTTTGGTTTTTAACTACTCTAAGAGCAGTTTCCTGACTGTGTCCACTGATTTGTTTTTTCCTTTTTGAAACACAATGGACACTATCCTGACACACTCTCTTTACTATTATACATAGCCATATATTATGGAATCCTGAGATAAATAATTAGAATATCCACTCAGTGACCAATGAATTAAGGGTTGGGATATGTATAGTAGACTGGACTTTAATACTGGACTGTAAAGATGTACTGCTTTTTATCCTTTTAATCTCTGGTGATAGTTTTATATTGAAAGGGTTTTCTTACTTTTTTTTCTGACCTTCAGGATCCTGGGCATGGATATTTTGGGGTATAGTAACACCTGGATACATTTGCCAATAGACTTTTGGATAATTGAATGAATATTAATTCTAAATCATGCTATATGTTGGACAGTTTAAGAATAGTGTGAAACCAGATTATTGCCAAATTATATGATACACAACACCTAACATTTATAAATTTGTTACTGATGTATAATGGACTTACGGTTTTCCTGAAAAAATTTCATGTGTTAGCAGATACAATTTTTTTGCCTTTGTTAAGTAAAACTTACATAATTTACATCAGGTTTAACATCTGGTGAGTCATAGAGCTAGTTTCTAGAACAGACTTTGATTCCATACCTTCTTGATTATAGTGACAAATTGAGACAGACTACATACATTGGTTTACATAGAAAAGATGGGTAATATTCTATATAGAACATTAAAAAATAAATCTCACGATTAATTTGATTACAAGTCATGATTAGAAGCCCCATTTAAAGAACCATGTAGTCGTTTTATATCTTAGTTGTGTTCTTTTGAAAAAATCTTTCCACAAAAGCACTAAGTCAACAATGATCACTTGCTTGAGTAGAAAAATTAACATAACCAGTCTCAATCTTATGCTGTTCTATAATTAGGTTTAGGTATTCCTCCTATCTGTTTCTTTTTTAAAAAATAGTACTAGTACTTGAACTCAGGGCCTTAAACCTACTCTGCACTCTCGATACCATCCAGCCCTTTATTGCTTCATTCATAATTTTTGCCCATCACCAACTGCAATTGTGATGTTCCTACTTATACCTCATTGTAAAGCTATAACAACAGGTATGCAAACACACAAACTTTTGTTGAGACAGAGACTCATGAACTTTTCTGTTCCAGCTGACTTTCAACTGTCTTTTGATCCTTCTCCTCTCTTCCTGGAGTAGCTGAGATTACAGACATGCTGTACCATGCTAAGACCTATACACTCTCTAAAACAACAGATTTTACAAATTTTTTCCTCCCTTTTTTTGTCCTAAAATAAACCTAATACCATGTTAATTTTACTCATGGTCCTTTTTGAATCATTCTGTTTCTCATGCAGCTTAGGCTTCTCTCCACTCGCTTTCTCTTTAAAATATAAATATATATTTATACTTTTTCCAGTAGAATATAGGCTGACAGATTATGTGGAGGCAAATTTTATAATGAATTGAAAATAAATAATAAATAGTTTTCAGAAAAAGACTATCTTTTTTGCACTCAGGAAATTAAGATGAAAATGTTTCAATGACATAACTTTGATAGGTAAATTATATGCTAAATGATACTAGTAAAATGATATTTATGGAAAAAGCATTGAACTGTTTGATATACTATCTAAGTTTTGCCTAGTCACAAGAAAATATGCACAAGATTTATAAGTATGTTCAGCAATTGATAAATGTTTGTAATTTCATACAAGTGAATCATTCAAAATATACACTAGTAAAGTAATTGTTAAGTATTTCTGATACATGTATATTATGATGCATTGATGTGTAAAACAAAGAAGGTATATTTCTATAAATTGATACTAGAGACAGTAACTTAAAAATAAGTTATTTTGATTTTCCATAATTATTGTAACAACAAAAATTATACATATGCATATACATAAGTATATTTATACTAAGATGTTAACAAAGAAATAAAAAATTTAAACCAATATATGCTTAATGCAGTGTCAATCTACAATAAGTGGATATGGACAAGAGTGTAGACTGAGTGCCATTTAATTATACAACAATGGTTTGATTGTTTAATGGTGACAATGTATTTAATGTATTCAATATTCATGACTTACCCGTAATGTTTAAAGTAAATAAATAATGCAATCATAACTAAAAAATATAAACCAACACGTTAGAAATAGAATATAGCATTCCATGTCCTACAAAATTGTGAACAGTTTTTCTAACAACTTTCAATATATTTTTCTAAATCCATCTCATGGAAAATTGGTCTATTCCTCATTCTAGGAAAGCAATATACCTGGGTCTCTCTTCATGGATTTAGTCACACTTAAAATATGTAATTATTTTTTTACTGGGATTGAAGACCTTATCAACTCAAACTGTGACTTCCCCTTTCTTTGTAAGATATTATTAAATCTTACAAAGAAAGGGGAAGTCACAGTTTGGAGTTGTTTTCCTAGGTCCTTGAACTGTCACTGACATCCTCCTGATATCCGTATGGTGTATGCACTTACCCATTTGTCTCTTGTCTTATTCTACTTTATACTTTACTATATTGTACATTCTGACAAGATAGAAATAATTTCTTAACCATATAACTGCATGTTATAATAGCAAATAGATGGAAGAGAAAGAAAAGAAAAAGAAACAGAGAAAGGGGTCTATCTTACCAGTCAATAATTTTCATTATACATTATGAATCATTATAGATGATTTTCATAATATATCTAATCTCAAATCACAAATACATCAGTATAAATATGTCATCTACAAATCCTCCAATCTAATATTCCACTGACAGATTCCATTTTATAGTATTAAGTTTTGAAATATATTCATGCAATATGTCCCCACAAAATTGAATTGAATTATATTACCGTTTATTTCTTTTCTGACAATATGATGGGGAAACTGTGAGGGAAGGCTGGAAAGAAAAAATTGGAGAAGGAAAAGAAGAAATGATCTATAATGTTTCTGGTCTAAATATTATAACCTTTAGTGCGTATTTTCTCCTCATACTTTTTATTACCATCAATTATTTGTCCAAGGGGTTTGCATTTTGACATGCCCATGTATGCAAGCAACACACGTTAGTTGGACTCACCTCTCTATCAATCTCTCACCTTCTCCCTTTCCTCCCCAATTTCAGTAAATACATAAAATACATAAATACATAAAATACACAATACATAAAATATTTTGATCATATTTGCCCTCCTTCTCCCTCTTTTTTCCCTTTTCCTCTTGTCCTTGAACTTCTGTGCTCAAGATTGGCACTCTATCACTTGCAAAAGGTCCAGTTCTGCCTTTTTGCTGGTTAATTGAAGATAAGAACCTCATGGATTTTCCTATTTCAGCTGGTTTTGCACAATGATTCTGAGATGTCAGCCTCCTGAGTAGCTAGGATTACAGGCATGAGCCTCCAGCTCTAGGCTCTCCATATTTCTGTAAACCTAAAATAATATAAAAAAGCATGCATTGAGCATGTATTAGACACACATTGACAGTATTACCTGATTTTGTCCTTGATGTAGATTAAGAATTGGATTGTGAATTTTGTCTATGATGCAGATAAAGGTTGTTACAGTAAATTTGCCTAGGAATAAATCAGGAACTTGAATCCAA